GGTTCAGGTCGATTGTGCCAGTGTAGGACCAACTTTCCAGCAATAGCCTGGCAATTTTCTCATTGGCTCTGCCGATGACCTTCGCTTTCTCAAAGATGATGAACGCGATAACATACCTGGACCCCGAATCTTTCGGCATTCACTTATATGTTTACAGTTCGATCTAGGGCGGGTTATTATTTGCGCAGCTCTTATTGCACATGGGTTGTATTTCCCACTTCAATAATCGCGCGCCAAACATTGTGTTATTTACGTAATTATTTTAAGTATTTTATACTTTTAAACGCTCTACCTTTTTATTTAATTTTTATATCCCTTAATATGGCCCCTGACAGCCCCTGATATTTCCACTGTTCTTGTAACATAAAATCCTTGGGCTAGGGGTATCCAAGGTTGACGACCAAACTTACTTTTTCGTATGAATTTGAAAATAGGCATCCCGAGAAATATAAGTTCATAGAAGAGATTCTTCGGGAAACAGGAACAAACTTTATTGTAAATTTTCGACACCGGCACACCAGGTCGTCTTCGGACGCGAGGGAATTGTGTGAAGAGCAGTCCGCAAAATCGATAATGCTGCGTCATCTGTGGTCAATAGCATGTTTTGGTGGTTGGCCCTTTTCCCAAGCAAAAGTTTAAACAAAAAGAAAAGGAACTAAAATGTTCCGATCAAGCGCCTAATTCAAGAAATTTGCGAACACTTCCATATATTAGAAACGTGTCTGAACTCGTTGAAATACACCTGGAGAAGTATCAAATCCAAGTGGCGCACAAACCAACGAATACTCTGCGAAATCAGCTTGTATACCCTAAGGATAGGGTTGGCTATTTGGACAGAAAAGAGGTCATTTACAAAATCTCTTGTAGCGGCTGCAATGCAGTTTATTGCGGACAGACAGGACGATCGGCCTCCGCACGCTTACGCGAACATCAACGAGCGGTAAAGGGGCGAAATCACTTGTCCGAGGTCGCCATGCACACATTAGAAACTGGACCCCAATTTGCATGGGATGAAACTTGCATTGTTGGCTCTTGCCCATACAACAAAGGCCGCGAGTTTTTAGAAGCCGTCAACTCCGACGAATCGTGCATTAACAGGCACGTTGAGTTGGGTTCAATGTACACCAATCTTAAAAAAGCCTGGAAAAAGGGCCAACCACCAAAGCATGCTATTGACCACGGATTTTTTGGCACGTTTAAAAATGCGGACTGCTCTTCACACAATTCCCTCGCGTCCGAAGACGACCTGGTGTGCCAGTGTAGAAATTTTTCAATAAAGGTTGTTTTTGTTTCCCGAAGATTCTCTTCTATCAAACTTACTTTTGTCTGCGGCTCATTTAGTAAGCCCTGTTTTGCTGAACATAGCGGAAAATAAACTCTGTCCTTTATTTGACGGAATACTTATTTATGTTGTATTTCCGCCTTAGAACATGGAGACACCTGAAATGTTCCACATGGTGGGTGCACTTTGTGGTCTGGCCATATACAACTCCATCATCGTCGACCTCAACTTCCCCCTCGCAATGTTTAAAAAACTTCTCGGCCAGCAGCCAACTTTGGAGGACCTAAAGGAACTGGATCCGGTTGTTGGTAAATCGCTTCAACAGCTACTCGAGTACGAGGAGCCGGATCTCGACGAGGTTTTTGCCTTGAACTTTGAGGTAATTTATTTGCATACGAATGCGTGAAATTCGATTATCGATCTACACGACAGTTCGGAATCTAGGTTGTCCGAACAGCATATTTAGTAAGCACTTGATTTACACTCGTGCGCGCCTTGATGAGTTTCAGTGGAGACAACAGGAAGCTTCACAATAAGCTAGACCCGTTAACGCTTTTTTGTACCAATTGTCATAGGTATGCAGTAACATAGAAACTGTATCCTATGTCTATACTGTAATTCTCGTTACTGCTATTGTCTCTGATGATGGAGCCGCGATGGATTTCGAAACGACATGTGAATAACATTCTCGTCGCAGCGATCACATCTGCTTCTTCTCAGTTACTTCCTGGGACTCGCTTTTTCTCTTTTATTGGCATTTTCGCTCGCACGAGAACTCAATCAGTAGAGCACCTGGAAGGATGTCATCAGACATTCTCTAATTGCGTCTTTTTTAGTCCACTGACATCCACCTTGCATTTCAAAAATGACAGTTGTTAGGCTAAGAAAGAACTCTGTTGCACTAAGCCATCACTTTGTTTATGCTTATCGCTTAAGTTTATATCCATCGTTTCACATTATCCTTGATACCTGAGGCTGCCATGGTATCAATTCTCACAGTAAAGTATTTAGTTTCACTTTTATACTGTGTTCTCATTGTGAATAGGCTCTTCCAAGTAGATACCTATTGTCCTCAATTATACTGAACTATAGTGGCTTCCTTTTAGGTTGTGTTCGATAAGTACGGCGAAATCTGTCACGTCCCCCTGGTGGAAAACGGGGCATCTATACCGGTAAACCAGGCTAACAAGCAACTCTACGTGGAGAAGTACGTGGACTATCGGTTTAATAAAAGTTGCGACGAACAGTACAAAGCATTCCACAGAGGCTTCCACCTCGTCTGTTCCGGATTCGCGCTGAAGATGTTCCGGCCCTTGGAACTCCAGGTGACCAATCTCTCCCTTTCTCTCTCCCTTCTTGCCCCCTCCCCTCTATCTCTGTCCAGGCTCCAAGGTGCTAAGAGGATAGTTTCCTTC